AATGGGATGAATGCTAGCAAAAAATTGGGGGGTTTTATTTTCGCACTCCGACGCATAGGAAACGAGATAATCGCATTTTTATAAATTGAAAAAAAACTGCACCTATACCCTTCTTTATATGTTGGATCGACGCGTTTCGCGGTGATATGGACGAAAATACTCTTATTTTCGCGGTACGACCCATAGGAGCCGAGATAATCGAGTTTTTCTAAATCGAAAAAAAAATCGCTCAAATGGACTTCACTATAAGTGAAAATACGTTATTATTTTTTTTTTATTTGGTTCCGCTCATTTTAGGATCGCTTCATTAATTTCAATTGATTTGAATAATTTTAAATGACGAGATTTCAGAGATTTAAAATCGATTTAATTTTCAGTGTAAGTTCAGAGTTCAAAATGCTTTGGCACTTCGATGCTTCATTCGTTAGAATAGATCACAGATCAATGACCAAGTGAATCTAACATTTGCGTAATGATAAATAGTAATTAAGTACATACGCAGTATCAACTCACGTTTTTATGGAAGGAACAAGCGGGGCATTGTATTATCGACATATTACTAAGAATCTTATGATATCTAGGTAATTTTTTTCCTTCTAGTTTGATCTAAGATATATTTCTCACTACATTTTCTATAAAGATGCACCGTGGAGTAATTGATGTTTTGATGAGTGTTTACATTTTATATTTAATTAACACGGAGTTTTAATTCTGTATACTAAATTCTATTGACAAATACTTGAACAATGATAAGGATTTGATTTTTAATTAACGTTATACACTATTTGCAGGAAGCTGAAATTAATTGTTTTTAATAGTCTCGACGAGTCAATTTGGGACCATTGGAGGAAAAATCGTGAGAGAGAGGGAAGTCCATTTTACCCACCTTCTCCTCAAAATTTTCGTTTTGTCGAGGCGTTGCACAAATTTAGATGGAGCTTTCGAGGGTAAGGACTAGTGATTTTAGTAAAAATTGTTGAGGAATGAGTTTCTGCGTAGGGGGGTCCAGTCTACCCTCCTCTCTCCTATCTCCAAGATCTCATTTAAAACTATAAAAATACCATATTATCTGTCATCTAATGGCACAATGAAATATCTGCTGTCATACTTTAACAGATTCTGTCAAACACCACATGTGATAATTTTTCATATGTTATATGTCAGAGGATAATGCAAAATCTGGACCAAAAATGTCAAATGCGGTAGTATCTGTAAATGAATTCATACTTTGACATTATTTCGACAAGCCGTAATGGTGGAAATGCCATAGAGAATGTGAAAATATACCTCATAATGAATAATGGACGACTCATAGAACATATGATCTGTCAAAATTGTCTGTCAAGATTCATTTTGACATGTTTTGACAATAGTTCTAGCCAAGAATTCGTGATGATCTTTCAAAATTTGAAATTTGCTGGCAAAATTTACTAGCATCTGTGACCTGATCCCTGAGAGGTGTATTGTTAATTAATAATTGAAGAAACAATCATGTATAGGAAAAAAGGAAAAATATTGCACTCGTTGAAGACTGAATTCGGGTGGTAGATTCAAATAAAAAGAATCCGCAGTTGACTTCAGTCTATTGCCCATTGGTGAATCGCCTGAAGGCAGTAGGGAATTACATCCTCAAAATAAAATTTGTAATGGCGGCGATGGTTCGACGAAAACGGTCGTTTGTCGTCCAATGCATCAATTTCTACCCGTGAAAGTTGGAAAGTTGGCGTTTAAAATCGCCCAGAAATAACTTCAATTACTACTCCAAAATGAGGTCTTGATAATCTCTCCTTAGCCGCGTGTAAATTGTTCGATTTCATTCCAATTTAGTCGCTATTATTTGCCACAGGTGAGGCTCAATCATTGATTTCCTTCGTTAACTCCATCGTAAAATTCATTTTTTCAACTAATTCTATCATTTTTTTCTAGGTATTTAGAAGAGATTTCACGATGTCGAAACGTTCAGCAGATCCGGGAGACAGCAGTTCCCAACCTCCAATAAAAAAAGTGCAGTTTGAACCAATTTTAATTGGTCCCATATCAACATTGGAGGAAATGGATATGAAAGTTCTGCAATTCCAGAATAAAAAACTTGCTCAGGTACATAAGTCTGCCCTCCAATTTGCATTTCAGGGTTTGTACCTTCCAAAATCAGTGATTTTGGGAAGAAATATCAAAAGAATTCTTCAGACTAGAGAAAATTACCCTTAAAATATTTCTAAACAGTTTGTTATAATATTTTTCATTATTAGGATAATTCGGCCGTCAATTGAAGTAGTTAACGTGTTTGTAATTGTTGTCCTTTTAATTAGTCACTGGAGAAAGCAAAAATATGTCAGGAAATATGAAGATCAATTTTCCGCTTGAATGTTGGAACGAAGAAGTTTCTGTAAAATTGCTAGTCAGCAAATTTCGAGGTTTTTTCTTTCTAATGTTTTGAAGTATTTAATCATTGATCAAAACAGAAATTAAGAAACGTTTATTCAGGAACGATTTATTTTAATATTAAGCAACAACTTGAATTTTATTTCAAATATTCGAATCTTAGTTAATTATTAATGAAATTTAATAGTTTTCCTGCCTTGAAGAAAATCATTAGTTCCGTTTATTTTTTATTGAGTCTGCGCCGAGTGAAATGGATAAATTTATTCCTTAGTTATAACTTTTTTTCAATGCCTGAAATGTGCAAATGGGCATTTAGTCTCATCTGCCTCGATATTTTAATTTACCGAATCTTCAATTCCTACGTTCCTTTTTCCTTTTGTTAAAACAATCTTTTTATGAGAAAAAATTAATCTAAAAAAGTGTTCAAATAGGAGATGACACTTTAAGAATTCGTTCAATAATAATCAATTCTGCAATTAAATGGTCAAGGGTAATAATTTAAATTAGCGAATCCTTAAGGTTTCGAAGAATATCTCTGAATCGAAAACAAATACTGGAGTTTTTGTACTTATCTTTTTTATACCTCTTATGTCCGTCTAGAAAAAAGATCGTCCGTAAAAATTCACTATCTTCCTTAGACTGTTCCTCCATTTCCTATTTATTTCTGAAAAAGGATACATGACGTTTTCACCTGGATATTCTATATATTCTCATAAGAATTTTAAGTGTACTGGACTGAAATAACCCGATTAATTTTATATATTTGACAGCTTATGTACATATTATAAGTTATTATTGTGGATTATCATAACCACTCGAATGATGTTTTATGCTACATTTTTCACTACAGAGGCTAGAGCAGAGGCACAGGATGGAGGCTGAGCTCAGGCAGAGAATAGAGCAGCTAGAGAAAAGACAAACACAGGATGATGCTGTTCTAAATGTAGTCAATCGATATTGGAATCAGTTGAATGAAGATATTCGAGTGCTGCTACAGAGGTTTGATGCCGAAACTGCTGACGAGTCCGAAAATAAAAGTGAGGAATTGACATCGCGTAGTTCTTCTCTAGAAAAATCCACACTAATTTTACTTCTCAGTAATAATCGTCAAATATTTTATACAGTTTTAAAGGCCTATTGAATATGCTGAGAACAAAATTCACTTTTAATCAATTAATTCGCGTCTGCTAAATCAATTTACTTGGCGAAATTCCCAATTTTCTGTTAACGTAAGAATTAAATTCACATGTGAATATTTTCATTCTCATTCGTTTTTAAGGAATTATAGCTTTTTAATTGTAAAAATGGTTTCTCGTGTTTTTTTTCTTTGAGAATTGTAATTTATCTGAATTTTTCTATTCTTTTGCGTTAATTTAATCCAAGCATTTGAAATTAATGGACTTCAAAATGAAAGAAAAATATTTTTCTTTTAAAGTCATTTCCTGTGGGGAAAATCAATAATATAACCTTAAATTGTAATTTTCTTGTACCGAAAGATATTGAGAGAATCTCGTATTATTTGTGAAATTTTTAACAATGATTCTCCAAACCCAAAAACTCTCCATACTTAAAAAAATTGAAGCGCTAATCTTCGAAGATTGTTCATCGATTTCTTTAATTTTCCAGACGAGTCTGAAGCCACTACTTCCTTTCTAATGCAGCTTTCCACCTGGGATAAAGAGGAACTTGATGACAAACTTGCCCATCGAGTTCAAGTGTCGAAACGAGCGGTTTCGAAGGTCGTCCAAGCCTTCGATCGTCTCTCTCAACGTAACGAGAAGATTACCCTTGCTTTGAAAGGAGAGTATGAAGGCGAAGAAGCTCCAAACATCGATGAAGTTGTTCGCAAGGCCAACAATGAAATTCAAACTGAAAATAGAAATCTACAGGCCATCAATATCCAGCTTCATGAAAAGTACCACACGATGTCCCTGAAGATGTCCGAACTCCAAGACACCATAACTGGTAAGACAGATCGTGATGAAAATTCGTATTTGTGCGTCGAAAAATTTTCCAGTGACAACTGACCCATCGACTTCCCTTTAAAAAAAATTACCCTAGAGGAATTTTCCTATCTTGTCGTCCCGAGAGTATTATCATAAAAAAAAAATGATTTACTCTTAATCATCAATTCGATATTGTAGGTACAACAAGACTTTGACATAATTATAATAATTCTGTCATCACATTCGCAACTGTTTAAATGATAAGTTTTTCAAGTCGAAAGTCTTATAACATCAATCGTCAATTTACAAAATGTCTTCATAAAATAATCCGTTTTTTAACATGTATCTCGATTATCCAGATGGGCATGAGATTCAGAACTCATTGGAAAATATTTTAGGACGATAATTAATTCCGAGAGAAATCATTCCCGGAGAATTTGTCTTGGAGAAATTTTTCTTTTGGAAAATTTTCGCTTGTGTGTCTTCTGTATATCCTCGAATTCCTAGTAAAAAAAATAAGTATTTTCCTTTCTGATGATGCAGGCAAAGACACTTTATCAGCAGAGCTTCGTAACCAAGTAGACGATCTCCAATACGAACTGAACAAAGTTCGAGCAAGAAACGACAAGCTGGAGCATCACTTGGGAGAGGCAATAGAAAAGCTGAAAGCATTCCAACAGATCCACGGTACTGACGACAAAGGAAGCAACAAACCTAGCACGTTGGTTGCCTCAAGTGTCTCCCAGACAAAATTAGAGGATCTTCAACGAGAGCTGGAAGAGACGAGAGAACTAGCCAATAATAGACTTCAGGAATTAGACAAATTGCATCAACAGCATCGAGATGCATTGAAAGAGGTTGAAAGATTGAAGATGGATATTAGACAACTTCCAGAGTCTGTGATAGTAGAGACAACTGAGTACAAATGCCTGCAGTCCCAGTTTTCAGTTCTTTACAATGAGTCGATGCAGCTGAAGACTCAATTGGATGATGCAAGAGCGCAATTACAAACTAGCAAGAATTCTCATTTGAGGCATATTGAGATGATGGAGAGTGAGGAGTTGATGGCACAGAAGAAGCTCAGGGGCGAGTGCATTCAGCTCGAGGATGTCCTCGCTCAGTTGAGAAAGGAATACGAAATGCTGAGAATCGAGTTTGAGCAGAATCTAGCTGCTAATGAACAGACTGGACCCATCAACAGGGAAATGAGACATCTCATCACTTCTCTCCAGAATCATAATCAACAATTGAAGGGGGAGGTGCACAGATATAAGAGAAAGTACAAGGAAGCTTCTGCAGAGATTCCTAAGGTAAATAAATTTATTATCTATTCATATAGCGTATCATTAGCTAAAGCACCATATTATAATTTTTTTTTATTCATCAGGAAATTTGAACCGAAAGTTGTGTAAAAAGAGAGATTTATAAAATATCTTTCCAATTTTCAGTTAAAAAAGGAGATAGAAGAGCTGACAGCAAAACTCGGTCAGCAATCATCTCAAGAAAACAAAGAGGGTAACAATTCGGATGGGAGTTGTAAAGAGGAAGAGACGATGAACTCGTTACCAGGTTCGATGCAGATTAAAGAAGAAGGTGCTTCCATAAAACGTGAATTAGGAACTGACGAAGAAGTCGAGGCCATTGAGATTGGTGAAGGTGAAGGAAGCAAAGGAAATAGTGACTCTCATGCATTGACATCGCCAACTCTCAAGAAAGAAAAGGATATAAAAAGGGAGAAGGATGTTAAGAAAGAGAATATTGTTAAAACTGAGCACAGGGATCCAGCGCACAGGATCAAGGACGCTAAAGTTGCTGAATCTGAAATTGTCAGAGATCTCAAGGCACAACTCAAGTGAGTATTTTTATATTGAAAATCCGTGTAATTTTTATATTTTTCTTAAGAGTATACGTGATTCTTACCCTCCCCGCTTTTCAGTATCTTCTCAATTTCTGATTAAAAATGGCTGAACCCAATCCAAATATTTTCTTTTTGTTATTTACTAAAGAAAAACCGTCAACGAAATGAAGGAAATGAAGCTTCTTCTGGACATGTACAAAGGTGTGGGCAAGGAACAGCGTGACAAAGTTCAATTAATGGCAGCTGAGCGAAAAACTCGAGCAGAACTTGAAGATCTCCGCCAGCAATTGAAAAAAATCCAGGTGAGCATAAATAAATTCAAATATCAAAGTAAAAAAAACCATCAGTTTTTCTTTTTTTGGCGAAGAAATTCGTCTTTTTTGTTATTTTCGTACACAAACACTTGTAGAAAATCATATATATACCGAGCTTCGAAAGACGTTCGAATTTCAGGAGAACAAGAGAGAGGAGAGGAAGAAACTTGCTGATGAGGATGCACAGATCAAAATCAAGAAGCTAGAAGAGCAGACTTATACACTGCAGCGACAGGTTGCCTCACAAAAACAGGTATAAAGTCAAATTTTAATAATAAAAACTAATACACACACGTAAAATCCGTAGAAAAAAAAAGCTTCCGGTATATGAGTGCTGTACCAACCTCGATTAAATTTCCTTCATCAAAATAATCTACCCTGAGAAAAAAAAAAATGATTTTTGCCAGTGATCGATTCACTTCCAATTTTTCAACTTTAAGAAATAAAAAAAAACGAACGAATAATTTTCCATACTTTTCAAGTAACAAATTTAGAAATATTTTACACTAACAAAATAAAATTGAAACCAAAGATTACCTTCAGTAGATAATAGATGTGGAATTTAAATCTTGAATTTCCTTAGGACAAGAGATTGTCCTAATTCTTTAATATTAATAATTATTGAGCGCGTGAATTCAAAGCAAAACAAACATAATCATTCTCTAGAGCAATATAATTATCATTATTAATATCTAGTTGAAATTACCTGCAGAAATCAGATTTTTATGACAGTATATACTTCTTTCAAGTAAATATAATTTTTTGGAAACGGTCGTTTTGTTTCTCACTGTAGGCTATATATTCAAAAGTGACTTTAAGTCACTTCATTTTTCATGGCGGGTGCTTTTGTAGATGGACAGAACTTTTTATCGACTCCTCTCTTCTAGCGCTATATACTTAAAAAAATTAGAAATTGATTATAGTATATAGTCAAGTTTTATTAGAACAATTTAATGTGGAAATGGTATTGTGCACATTTACCTAGTCCCCCTCAGATAATGCAAATAATAACCTGATATTTTTAATAATTTATTCCCTAAAATTATAAAAAACCAGATGCTTGGAGTGACAATTATTTAAAAAAGTCATGATGATGAGAAGAATGATTTTATTCTAGAAGAATTTTCTGCGTTTCTCTATGTGATTTCTTTTTAATATCCTAGCCTACCCGCTGATACCGAAACAATTAATTTTAATCAATGAAGAAAACAATAACATAAATAGAATAGGGGAAATAGGGCAATATAAACATGTTTTTATTTAAAATGGTCAAGTAGTAGTTAAGACTGCCGATTGCCTTTGGTGGATCACAGAATAACTATCTAAAATCATAAACGCCTTTTGTAAATCATTTAATTATCTTCAGAGTTAATGACAAATTTATGATTACAGAAAAAATAGTTTTATTAATTTTTAAATACCAAATCCAATATTTGTTTAAGCCTAAAATTAAAATTAAAAATTAAGAGTGGAACCATTTTGAATGGTGGTCAGTTTTACCTCAGATGTCCATATTACCCCAGCGCTCCTATAAACATTCCGTGATTAATTGATAAACTAGTATAAGTGTCCGTACCCCACAGCAAATTATCAGATATTTCTTAAATGTGAAAAAAATCTCATTTTCACCTTTTCAGATGCCATGATCACAAAAATCTTTTTTGCAGTGCGATGTGCGGTCTCTAAAGAAAGATCAAACTTATTGTTTCTAGTTTATCAATTCACAACAAATTTTTCTGTTATTGTTGTCTTCTTCCACAAATCTATACGTTCATAATTTTATTCATTAAAAACTAATTAATTGAACTAATAAACCCAAACTAATAGAATAATGCAAACCAGTGTTGAGATAACTTTAATAATTGGAAAAGAACATTTGCTTAACACTGAACAGAATTGCGTTTGGATGCAGGAAGAGGAAGCGTTACTAAACGAAATGGAGGTAACTGGTCAAGCATTTGAAGATATGCAGGAGCAAAACTCCCGTTTGATACAGCAATTGCGTGAAAAGGATGATGCCAACTTCAAATTAATGACTGAGAGAATAAAAAGTAATCAATTGCATAAGCTGGCCAGAGAAGAGAAAGATGTTCTGAAGGAACAAGTTACGACGTTAACGACACAGGTCGAGGCAGCCAATGTTGTTGTTAGAAAACTTGAAGAGAAGGAAAGGCTCTTGCAGAATTCCCTAGCTACTGTAGAGAAAGAATTGGCCCTTAGACAACAGGCTATGGAGATGCATAAGCGGAAAGCTATTGAGAGTGCACAGAGTGCTGCTGACTTAAAACTTCATCTTGGTGAGTTTCCCATCTGTTTCTTTTTATTGAAACACCAGTCAAACCCCATTTTTTCAACGTTTTCCGGGATATTTCGAATTTTGTTAGAAATAAATTCTATAAAATCAATAAATAAATTATCATTATTCTCTCATTTTTCTTCATAAATAATTGTTATAATGAAGTTATTCCAAAGTCGTTAAACGGATAATTAAGAATTTTTCATCTTCAAGAAAAATTGTATAATTTGTTCAATTACATTTTTTTTTTTCATATGTAAGTATGGTTGAGCCCTAGTCATCGATATTAATTCAAATTCAATTAATTTATCAATTAAAAACATTTTGTTTTATTTTTTAAATCTGTTATTCCATAATAGCTAGACAAGAAATGTTCTGAAATATTTGAATTATGGTTTGAAAAATTTGTTTCGATGGTATACTGTTTTTTTTTCTCCAGAAAAATATCACTCACAAATGAAAGAAGCGCAGCAAGTAGTCGCGGAAAAAACAAGTTCTCTGGAGGCAGAGGCCTATAAAACAAAGAGACTCCAGGAGGAAATCGCTCAACTCCGAAGAAAAGTAGAGAGGATGAAGAAGATCGAATTGGCAGAGACTCTAGATGAAGTTATGGCTGAAGAACTCAGAGAGTACAAAGAAACCCTCACCTGTCCCTCTTGCAAAGTTAAACGTAAAGACGCTGTACTTACGAAATGCTTCCACGTCTTCTGCTGGGATTGTCTTCGTACGAGATATGAAACTCGTCAAAGGAAATGTCCAAAGTGCAACTGTGCATTTGGTGCCAATGACTATCATCGTCTGTACCTTTCAACGTGAAGAAAATACTCTAGATTAACTATGAAATAATTTTATCTTCCTAGAAATATTTTCCTCAACCGCAAAAACTTTTGTACAAATACACTTTCTCTTTCTCAGTTCAATGAGAATTTCACTGTAAAGTCATTTTTTTTGTACGAAATTAATGTTTTTTGCGTTTTTTTTTACAGTAAGTTTTGTTCCTTGTGAAAACTCAGTTTTTTTATCATGAGCAAAATGATTTTTTACTTTTTTTTTTCGCTGCAAGAGAGGAAATATTTCATTTAAAAATAAATTGACTGTGTGAGTGCATGTATAGGTTTTCAATGAATATAACTGCGGTAAAGCAAATCGTGAACTTGCGTATTTAAAAGTCTTATGGAATCGAACTTTTTTATATTTATTCAGTAAATGTTGTACGAATGCTGGATTTATCATTTTTTAAGAATCAATTCAATGGTAGACAGACAAATATTAAATGGAAATTAATAAAATCAATTCTTTATTTTTTCATTCTTAGAAATAAGGCTATTAATGTTTATCTAACATTTTACACGTTTTTAAATAATTCTAATATGAAAAAGCATGATTTATTCCATCATATTCTCCTCATTGGATGCTCCCGAAGTAATGAGACAGGGTTCGTAAGTCCATTTTGGAAAAACTCTTTTATACAAATTCATCAAAATTGTGTCCTGAGACTTGAGTTGTCCATCAAAAACGCATTTCATATGCCCATGAGTTCCTGCAATTAGTACGACATAAAAATCGATGTGAATCCGTGTTAAGTAAAAAAGATAAAGAGTGTATTAAAATAAATTGATGCAAAAGGAGTAATCAAAATAACATGCCCGCGATCTGAAAGAACAATACGAAAGCTAAAAATACGTTTGTAATGATTTACATAACTGAAGTAATTGTTTAATCAATAAGCTTTGAAATAGGGAATTATCGGAAAAACCGATGAAGAATAGAGCAAAAGGGATTGAAACTCACCTAGAGGCTCCTTGATGTGTCCCCTGCGCCCATACTTGGTCCTGAGCCCAATAGGTTTAAACCAGTTGATATCCTCTCTCTCAAAGAACATGAATCTTACAACAGCACTTCTCTTGTGTACCTTAAATGGATGCCCAGAGAGCACAGCTCTCTTGATGACCAATCGATTAGGATCAGCACTCAGGACACTGCCCCTGCCAACCACCTCTAAACTTCCATTCTTCATCTCCTTATAACAAATCACTGGACAAGGGGGAAATATTATCGGAGCAAACATGCTCGCTACAACGGTGTCTTCAGGTTGCAAGTACCTGACGAACTTGTGTTTAGATCCATTGGTATGTTGACTGAAAATAGGACAAGCACTGAATCGCCTGAATCCACACTGGAATATCAACCGCTCCTTCGATTTGATCGGCTCAGATGAATCAATTTTACTTTTCAGGACGACATTAAGTAAAGACATTTTGTTTTCATTTGGTAGAAGCCCGAAGACGATTAATGGGCGGTCGTTCAAGGCGCAGAATGCCTCGAAGATGCTCCGAGGAACGTTTTTTACGTGAAGAGTGATGAACCATCCAGGGCGCGTACCATCAGAATCATAGGATTCCTTGAGGATTCTCCTCCTCGTCCTTTCAAAATTCTCGAACTGGAAAATTCTGCTGTAGTCGAAGGGGAGATTCTCCTGTGGATCCCAGGGACTCGTCCTGAAGGACTCAAGTCCTCTATACTTCTGGAATCTGATGCGTGCAGGTGTGTCCTGGGGGGTATCCACTTCGTCAGGAAATTGGGCGTCTGTTTTAGATTCTTTTAGCTTCTGCATTGAAGTTTTTTCCTCGTAGAAATCCATCTCCTCGTCGTACTTCTGGTGGTCGGGAGGCGCTTCCGAGACGGTCATCGTTTCGAAATCATCATCGTTTGGGTGTTGGTCATCGTCTTCTTCGTCTTCGGATTGGGGATCTGCTATTGACATCTCCTCGTCCGACGGAGTGGAGTCCGGGTTTGAGTCTGGTTCACCATCTTCGTCAGGGATCCAAGCAGCTTGATACTCTGATGTACCCTTTTGAGGTGAAAAGTGAAAGAAAAATGAGGAATTATGAAACTCTTTGGACTGATAGATGCATGATTTTATAACAGGGTGAGAAATATTCCGTAAAAATGATGGAATTCACCATTTCCCACTGATTGTGGAAATGGTTTAGAAAATTTAGGCACCAATATCATCATTTTATGTATGGATATCATAAAATTCCAGAACGCTTAGAAAAAAATCTGCACGAATTCCCTAAAATTTTCTCAATCGTATGTAATTTTGATTGAATTTTGATTGAATTTCGCTTTGTGTTTGAAAGGATAAGGGGCTTTAGGCTTTTTCTTTGAGAAAAACCGTCACAGTGGATCATTTAATAGAAGGCTCTAGGAATTCCTTAGAGGAATCTTGGAATTCCTAGTGAGCTTTACGTCCGTTCAGTTTTAGTTATTATAAAGTTTTAAGAAGACGATATGCAGAGTTTTCGACGTGAGGAGTTCAACTGATCTTTCAAACAAGCGAAATTATATGAACAAACCTTGGGAACTCGTTTGACGATTTTCCGTTTCTTCTGATCTTGTGCCTGAGCAAGTTCTTCCTCAGTAGGCCAAGTCTGTTCAGCATCCATGGGGTCTGGAATATTCTCAGACTGCAGAGATTCCTGTGTTGCAGGATCTGCCACCTCGAGAACTCTCGTTTCTGCCATTTTAAGTTCATCCTCATGTTTCCTAGACTTATCTAAGGGGTAAGGATCATCGGAGGCATCGATCTGAGTCATCTGGAAATCTCCGAAATCTGGGATGTGGATGAGAGAGTTCACAGACAGGGGTTGACCTCTCAAATACCCTGATATTTCCAAAGTTCCAGTGTTTTCACCTGATGATGTAAATTTAAGTTTTTCAGCGATTAAGTGAGGTCTTCGGTTTCTGTAAGCCACAGCTCGTTGTTTTTGGGCTCCTGCCTTCCGTAGAAGGTTCAGGGCATCCACTGGCTTGTCCAGCGGATGGATTTTCTCCTCCGGGAACCATTTTGAGAAGACTTCTTGGGTTGTCTGTTTCACGTCTTGCCTTTTCTACAAATAACAAAGCATACTTTTAGATGAAATAAATAATTCCGTATCATTTGAGTGATAATGCTTTGAGGCAAATATAAAAATAGTTTCAACCACTGGAAAAACGAGAGGATAAATTCTTACTTTGATAGGAATTGACTCCAGATCTGTGATTGCAATGATCGTGGTAGGCAATCCTTGAGCCAAGCATGCCTCCAGTATTTCTTCTCCCCAGGAATCAATGGCCTCAGATTTTTGATTGCCACATGATTCTAGGGCTACAGAAGTAACAAATAGAAGTGTAGTGGACACTTTTGCTGCATCTAGAGTTGCAAATGTGTTTCCTACCGGTGGAACAATCAACGAGAAGCGCTGTTTGAATCTGGGGATCCTGGAAAGAATAAAGACATTACAGTATTAGTAAATTAGTTTAGCAGATTAGTAAATATGTGTTTGTCAATTCAAAACTTCAAGTAACTTATTTATTTCTAAAGGAACATTATTCTCAAGTTTATTCAATTCAATTCCTTTGTCATATTTAAATAATTCTATTATTTAAATTCTCTGGTAAATAAAACTACTTTCTGTTCTGTCTAAATTTTTTAATATGACTGCGATGATTTATGATCTGTTTTTCGAGGGAATACGTACGAAATATGAGTGAGTCCCTGCGGACTTTCAGCCACTTCAGCATTCTCATCTGCTCCGGTAAGATTATTGACAACCCTCTTCACATCGAGATCTTCCTGGAGGGGAATAATCGTAATCAAAATCGGTGCAGCCAAGGATCCCCCAAGATTTCTCTTGGCAACCAATACTTCTTCCCTTTTTTTTGCCCTGAGCTGCTGAGATTGATGACGACGAGCTTCTTTTCCCAATTCTTTTCTCAATCGTTTTGTTAATGATTTGACACCAACTTTTCCTGTGTGAACGAAGATAATCATTTTGGTATGAGATTACAGAAGTGAATTATTCAATAAATATGGAATCATTCTGTATTTTTACGAAGGGTCTATGGTTGAGAGGAATTTTTAAAGATTTTTTATAATAACATTTCCCATTAGGATGCAATATTGGGCATTCCTCAAAGTTGTTTATTTATAGGAAAGTTACACGTTGGAGAAACGATTGCCAAAATGAGAGTATATGGAATTTTTTATTCGTTCACGACAAAAATTTATAAAAAACTCAGCGAATTCGTTAGAAAATTCGTTCGTATGTTCATTGTTTTTCTTCTTTCTAACTGTGTACTTTCTTTCCAATTCTTAATTTCTCCTCATCATGAAAATTAAACAAAAAACATTCAACCTTTCACCAGAGGAGATTTTTCAGAGAAAATGTCAAAAGAATAGATTCCAGAAAAATCCAATCGAATGTTTTTGGCGATTTGGCTAGGTTTGTCCATTATATTTGCATATCCGAGTTGTAGTTATAGATAGTTTTTAGTTGCTAGATCAATTCTAGAATGTTTCATTTATTACAATAATGGGTGAGAACAAAGAAAATATACAATCAATAAGAAAATTCGAGAAAGGCTTTTTGTAATTGCTTGAACAATTATTTAATTTCTACCCTTTTACTGATTCAATAATAAAAATCGGTAACTTTTCAAGATGATCCTCTTGCTGGTGCTTATTACATTCACAGTTGAGACTTATGAATTTCAACTTTTCCACGAGTTGTTTGAATTCATTTCAGGCAAGACCTTTTTTCGCTGAATCTTATCGCGACAGTTATTGTTTTATAATATGTTATTATTCATCTAGTGAGTGGATAAATGAAATCTAACCTTTAACGGCACTACTGATGGAACCTTTGCTACGGTGTCTTCCTGTTTTATGAGCCTTGTTGGTCTGTTTGAAGGCTCCAGCTCGATGAGTTTCCTGTCCAGTGCCCATTTCTTCTCGATAAATTCTGTGATATATCTTTTAATAACGATTTGATGAATATAATTCACGGTAAATTACAGTAAAGACATGATAAAAACTCTGTCCCACGTGTTTTGCAGTGTTTTGGCTTCAGTCTGTGTCACATGAAGCGATGGGTGGAGGTCAGGTGCATCGTCTATGTGTTGGAAAATATATATATGGCGGCATTGGCTGGTATATATCGTATATATACTGAACGTCGAAACTTTCTCACTTCATCCTCCAGAGCGCATAAATATTCGTCAATTACATCGGTATCCACCGATAAATCAACAAAAACTTCAGGCGGCATTTTGTAATCAATCAAAGAAAAAACGCACACTCCGTAAAAAAAAAATCTAGGGAAATTAATTGGCAGGTTATCTGAGTTTCTCGAAAGTTTCACCGTTTGAGGTTATTATTTTACCCAACATTTTAAAGCCCCAGAAACGTTCCAGTTGCCGGGTAAATGATCCCTGAAGGTTTTGAATCATTATCGAATTGTTCGATGATCAGATAAACCCACGAATTGAGTGACGCAATTATTATAATATTTTTTTTGAAAATCGTGTACTGTTGATCAGATAGATGGTAGACGGTGGGTTGCAGGTGTTGGCAAGTGTTTGTGATTTTACTTGGAATTTTTCAAAATTATTTCAGTGTGAACCATGGATACTGATGTAGAATCTTGTCTCAAGGATTGGAATGATCTTGCCAGTGATTTTAAAGCACTTGAGGTGAGAATTTTCAGGTTGAAATTCAGGTTTTTGTAACGAGTGGAAAGATTTTATTTGTCTGTTTCCAACTGCCTATATATTCATCGATAAAACACGGAAAATTTGAATGATATAAAGATGATATTATGAACTGGAGAAAAAATTGAGTCATAAAAGATTTTGTTTTGCGTTTAATAAATAAATGGATTTAAATTATCAAAATATTACAGGCTCTCAATAGGGAGTATGTTGCGAAATTGGAGGAGCTGACAGAGCTCCAGGGGAAATGCCTGAATGGAATTTCCCATCAGAGATATCGGATGGGTGTCATTTCCAAGTCTCTGAAGCAGTGAGTGTAAAAAATAAAAAATTTTCCTTTTCTTCGACCGCAAATTCTTTCATTACCTTTACTAATGGTGAAAACACAATTCCACCTTTCCCATCAATCTAAATATAATCTACAATCTGCACTAATTTTTTACTTTATTTTTAATAATTAAATTAAAATCACGGATTATCTTTCATGGATAAATCTTGGAAGCAACTTAATTTCTATTTGATGTATTGATTTTGTTTTTGATCATGGTAAAGAGTGGCCAGTGGAGACTGCCAAAAATTGAGGAAAGATATGGAGAGACGAGAAGAACAATTGCACGAGATAGAGCAGACATTACCAAAGGCGAATGGCACGTATTTATCAATTATTCTCGGCTCCGTCAACGTATCAATATTGAACAAAGATGAGAAGTGAGTGTTACACAACAATTAATAAGCATCGGTTAAAATGAAAAATGGCCAATTGAGTGTTCTCAATGGCGTGATTGATTGTTTTCATTTTTCACAGATTCAAGTACAAAGACGAGTATGAGAAATTCAAAGTGGTACTTTCTGTCATTGGATTCATCCTGAGTGTTATTAATTTATTCACTAATTTCAGGTAATTTGGCAAATCTCCATCTAGTATTTTCCTTTCTTCATTTGTTCAATTTTTCCTTTTTATTTCACCTTAGAAATTTCTCAAAAGTAATCTAGGCTTTTGAATATTGGCTTTCAATACATAATCCTGATTTTACCAATTATCTTAACGTATGATGATTGTGAGTAATTAATTTCATCATGAATTATTGTTTTATTTATTTTTAGGAATTTTGTTTATCGAAATGGAACAATTTTTCCCTCATTCACTGTCTGAGAGATATTTCGTATATTCAATCAATATTGCGCTAATTTTCTGAAATTTTTAAATCTTGTACATGAAGAAAAGGAATCTTCGACTTTATGAATTATTTTCTCATTGATAATTTTGATTCTTATCCTTTCAGGACTCTCGAGCTGAGCTTTATGTTTCTTCTAGTTTGGTATTATTGCACGTTAACGATACGTGAGAGTATACTAAAGGTCAACGGTTCACGTATAAAAGGCTGGTGGCGTTTTCATCATTTTTTGTCGACAGTTGTTTCTGGAGTTTTACTCGTTTGGCCAAATACGAGTCCTTGGTATGCATTTCGAGGACAATTTATGTGGTTCAACGTTTATATTAGTAAGTATAATCATTTGCTTTCCTCTCACAACAGAAACGAGAGCTTCAGTCATTGGAGTTAATATTGAATTTCATTTTCTCGTCAATTTAATGTCAAAAGAAAATTTACATTGCATTAGAAACTGATAATATTCAAATGGTTTTTAACAAGACAGTCATAATTTCAGATAGTCATTCTGTGATCCGAGAAAGCCATTCGAAGTCTAAATTCCTGCACCGATTTAAATAGATACATGTCTATATTTTCCTGCACTTCTGTAATTTCTGTTTTTCCTGCAGGTTTCGTCCAATATCTACAATTCCGTTACCAGAGGGGCGTACTGTACCGCTTGAAAGCCCTTGGAGAACGTCACAACATGGACATAACCATCGAGGGATTCCACTCTTGGATGTGGCGAGGCCTATCATTCCTTCTGCCGTTCCTCTTCGTAGGATATTTCTTTCAATTATACAATGCCTACACGTTATATCATCTCATGTCCCATCCAGAGGCAACCTGGCACGTGCCAGTTCTCTCTGCCATGTTCTTCATTCTCTTTCTCGGAAATGCCATCACTACAATTCTCGTCATTCCCCAGAAATGGCAAGACACCTTTCGTCGTCAATTGCCAGACGTTTTCAACTTTAAAAACGATAAAAGAAAAACCTCCCAGGTGAAGAATGAGTTTACATTGTCTCAGGAGAAAAATTCGGAAGGAAAGAGTCAGGAAAATCTTCAAGATAAAAAGGAAAATTAATTTATTCAATTATTTATTAGGTGATTAACGATTTTTAAAATCTGTCATTTACTGTTTCTCGTTTTCTTTTCCCATTACTTTTGAGATTACAGGGAGATAGTTTACAAAGGTTTCCGTAGCATAATATGCAGTGTCAATTAATATTGATTAATATAGTAATATATTTTTTTTAATTCTGCTGGTGAGTGGACATGAGTTTGATTGGGAAATAGTAGCACCTGACTGGCTTTTTTTTTCAAGATAATCGACTTGTACTAATTGAAAATCTCTATTCCCTTAATTATCAGAATACAGTTGATTCAAATGTTTTATGAAGGAATAAAGTGGCATTCCCATTACTGTGTAATAATCTCCATTGATTTTCTCTATCAGACACCCTCCTACCCCTTGGATTCCATAGCCACCGGCTTTGTCCCTAAAAAAAAAACAACTTTGATTTTCTCTTTATTTCTCAACTGAAAAAGAAGTGAACAAATGGTTATTGAATTTTTAAGAAAGAATATCTCAAGAACTCTAGGAGATAAAAAATTTCATTACATTGGTTCCCCAGTGGCGATATACGCCCTGATCTGCTCCTCGGAGATGTCTCCAAATGTCACCTTCGTACTCTCGAAGAATTTGACTTCTTTATCTCTTGTTTTGAAACACACGCCTGTGAACACCTCGTGCTCTTTGTTCTTTAAATTATTTAGTATTCTAAATGCATCGTTTTTATCTTTTGGTTTTCCGTATATCGTCTCCCCCATGGTAACAATAGTGTCTGCACCGACGATCAACTCTGGAGGTTTCTTACTGTTTTTCAGTCTCTCGAAAACCTCTTGGACTTTGAAGTATGCTAGATCTTGAACGTAATCTCCATGACTCTGGTACTTCCGTCGATCAAGATTCTCGTCGTAAGTTGATGGGACGCATTCTGCGTTGATTCCCTGAAAAATAATCACTTGATTACCTTGAGAAAAAAACAATATTCTATGGAGAGTGTAAATCGTTTGATGTATAGTAGCTGTAGAATTTTCAAAAAGCTAGTGCAATTCAGTTGATAAAGTTGACAATTAAAAATGGCAGGGCAATATTCACCAAATTTTTTATTATTTCATGACGTCTTGGGGATCCACTTGCCAAAACAACTCTAGTGCTCAACAATCCCTGGACCGTAGGTTCCAACATCTTTGATGGTAAATTGTTAACTGGAATTTTCAGAACAATCCTATAAATTTTGATCGTATCATAATGAATTAATGAATGAATTTTTTCAGTAATTAATCAAATTAATTATTAAATTCAGATTACGAGTCGCATGTGAATAACAAATAATTCCATGAATCAATGGGAATGAGGAAATTCACTGAAATTTCATACAATTTTGGCACTGAAAATCATTAACATTACGCCGCGGCGAAGGTAAATAGCGCCTGAGGCACGTGAAGTTGTCAATTGTTGTGAACAAAGTTGGGACGAATTTTCTAACCTAAAACCAACTCCAACTGTTTCGAAAATTCTGTGCAGTGTATTGTTTAACATCGACTGTACAATTGTCTATTATTCTCTGTTTTTTGTGGAATTTTTTGCATGGAATGGAGACACCGAGGGCATGTGGTTGTAAGGGAATTAGGACGTGCCTGATATGCGAGGAAGAATTTAATATTTGTAAACCTAATTTGTTTAAAAAATTGCAGGTAGGTTTGAGAATTATCTGATAACCTGGCGAAAGGAGGGGATGAGGGGAATTGTATCTAGAGGAATCGGGGATAATATGGAGGGGTTTTAATCAAAAGGGATTGAGTAATGATTTATTTCAATGATTAGTTAATATCTTGGAATTGAAGCAGTATAGCGAATTTTTTAAAGAAACATTGTTTATAGAGAAGATTGAGAGAGCTACAAAAAAAATATTTATGTGAAAAAATCCTCATTTTCCTTTAATGCATTTATTTGGGTGTACTACTTCGCTACAGATTTAACATTGTTAATTTCAGGAGCTCCCTAGTTATGTGTACTGTCCTCACTGTGACAAGGCATATCCAGGATGGGATGTAAATATTTTTAAGGATCATCCACACCATCGAGGAACTCCAATTTCCTATCCAGGAGTATTTATCAAGGTAAACAGCCACGAGAACTAAAAAAAAATCATTGAATCATAAACAACTCTGACAAATACTTCTGCATCAGCTAGATTTCTTGACGATTGGAGAGGCTGATGAACTTCTGATGGACTTGGATGATTTACCCTGGGACATATCTCAGAGTGGACGAAGAAAACAGAATTACGGGCCAAAGTGCAATTTTAAGAAGAAAAAACTGCGACTGGGTGATTTCAATGGATTTCCAACGACCACAAAATTTGTTCAGGAAAAATTTAGGGATATTCCTCTGCTCAAAGGGTTTAGGACAATTGAGCAGTGCAGTTTGGAGTACACGCGGGAACGAGGAGCTTCCATTGATCCTCATATCGATGATTGCTGGATCTGGGGGGAGAGAATCGTTACTGTTAATGTTTTGGAGGATTCTGTCCTCACGATGACGAGGTAAACACAAATTTTTCCCCATCTTTACTCAAACTTTACCTGAGATCTGATGATCAAATCATGTCAAATTTTTTGGTTCCTCATTGAATTGGTAAATATTCAATCCGGCATTTTACCGTCGTTTATGAAATAACTATAAATTCACAGGTTCCGTGGAGATGAAGGGAAATATAATCGCAACCTCGTGTCTACGTATCCATCAGTTGTTAAAGAACAATATTCTGATGATAAAAATCTAGGAGACATTGTTGTGAGACTTCCAATGCCGAAGAGATCGTTAATGGTGTTGTATGGCCCCTCCAGGTACTTGAAAACCAATTTTCAATTGTTCTTTACCAGAAAATTGTTGATGAATACTCTTCTTATCTTTTATCTGGGATGAACATCATCAAAAATTCTAAGATTATTGAAATAATTTTTAAAATCCTCTCGTTAAATTTTGGAATTACGAGCAAGAAAAATTCTTATTGTGGAAATGTAATAAAAAAACAATTCAAGTTTCTTGATTATTTCCGGAGTGGTTTTACAGCTGAAAATATTTTTAATTGCAGATATGACTGGGATCACCTAGTGTTCCGAGAAGACATAGACTCCAGAAGAGTCTGCATAGCATATCGTGAATTTACCCCACCTTATTTACCCCCAGGTGAACGCAGTCACGAAACCGTCGAAATTCTGAAGAAAGCAGAGAATTTTTGGTGACGCAAATCGCTCCACAATATTTTTATTATAAATTATGAAGAATCACCGGGAAATTTACACATTTTTTTTCTCTTTTGAGAACAATAATTATCCAATTATCAGAATGAAAATCAAATCAATTTTAAATATCGATACTTATATGTGAAATTAATTTTTTATGTAAATATGCAATGAAATTATATAACAGTTTTCAAATTTTCTGTTTATATTGTTGCTTATGAGATTGTAGAGAAGAATCGTCATTGTTAATTTATTTTCTGCAATGAAAATTACTTTATTATTAAGCATTCATGAATGGAGATAGGTCGAAAATGAAAAAATCATTCCTCATGTGAAAATTAACTGACAATCCATCATGTTAACAATATATTAATTTATTGAAAAACATAGAAATACAATACTCTGTTGAAATTCAATAGTTCATCACATGTCTCAATAAATTTCGATAATATATCAATCACGCTTCATTGTAATTACACCCGCATCCATTTTTATTTCATATAAACATTATCTTGCAATAATTTATTTAAGTACATAAATTGTTGTTATGAAATGCGAATATTGAGGAAAACCGAGTTTTTCTCTAGCAAAATTAAATTCTTCAAATATTTCGAAAACAATTTAATCTAGAAGAAAAGAAATGGCAAGACCTTTAGACGGAAAATTTTAACGATTTATGTTACAGCAAAGTATTTCCTTCTAAAATTAATAATTAACGAGATAATTGAAGGTATTCAAGTGTAACGGAATAATTTCAAAATGATTTGTTAATTAACTGACTAGGGAAGTCTTCAGGGGCTCTGAGGGCTGCATGTAGACCACAGGAAAAGTCGTGAGGGGATCGTTCTTACCCAAGGGCTGGTAACCATCCACTAAACTCTGACGCAATTGCCACTTTCTTCTCTCTCTTTCGGTTTTCTGACGCCGAATTGCACGACCCAAAGTACAGGCGAACATTATCCCAGTGAACTAAAACATTAATTTATAATCATTAATTTCATTTTACATTAAACAATTAGCTTACTAGCCAGGCATTTTTTTATCAATCGTCCTGACTTCATTTTGTAAACTCAGTTTTTCTGTAATTCCTATTTACTCTAATGTTTTAAAAAATGATTCCGTCAAAGATCACTGACTTTTTAATTTCAAACAATAATTATGGACATCATCAAAGGAAATTAAAATTGGAGAAAATGGGAAAAAGTGGTGGATTTTGGGGAAAAATTTGGGTAATTCACCTGAATTAAGGCAATAGCAATGGCCCCAGTGCCCAGATTGAGAGCACTTCTCTCGACAATCATCACCATTCTACCAATGCATCCATCCTGATAAATTCCACACTCTGTCTGACTAATATCAATGACTCTGGACCAAGCACAGCAAGATTCTGGAAACGGATATCCATTGCTCGTTGTGTGTCCGACATTACTCCAATCTTCTTCTCCATAAATTCCACAGCACTTCAACTAGAATTGCAAATGAACGTTTAAATAAATTAAAGTATTTAATTCGAAATATGTGGAATTGAAATCATGAGGTTTGATTTACCCTCGACTGCAGGAAATCAATTGCATATGTCGCGTCAGCATTGCTACCGTATTTGTACATCGTTGCATTTATTCTGTCTGCAAGTGCATTCTTTATTCCATCTTGCAGGGCGTAAGCGGAAATTGCTGCTGCTACTTCCAGAACGAGAACTATCGAGAGTGAAACTGCAAACTAAAATATCAGAGGATTTAATGTTCAATTGAATATGCCGATCTCCCTGTATTAATTCTTTCTTGCGTTCATTGTACAACAATAATGATCAATTAATTCGATGATGAATTCGACTAATTAATTAATCAAAAATCCATTGACTCACTCAATAATTTGATGATCAATATTTATATTCTAGATAAAAAAATGATTCTTCTCTTGTAATTAGATGAGAATGTAATAGAATGATGTAATAGAATTAGATAATTGAAAAAAATGAATGAAATACTCACTACTAAAACCATACAGGTGCTCTCCTTGACAGCTCCACAGCAGCCGAAAAATGCAATTAAAAAAACTAATGCACCAACAACAATGAGAAGTGTTGCAGGTGAAAAATATGTCGGATCGAGGAAATCCTTGAAGTCATCGTAAAGAGCATAAATTGTCGTTCCAACGGATATTATCATTACTCCTGTCAACTGCAATGGCAACATAATTAAATAATTATTTTACACAGTTTAAAATAGAACGTTCAATTACGGCAATATTAACACAACTGATAAATCATTGATTTTTCGAAATTGTTACTTGAAGGTCTCGATAAGAAATCCATTGTCTTGGGGTTTTTCGATTGTTAATTCTCCTTGTTGAGAGAATATTCAATTTAAAAAATTCAGTCCACAACTTTCCGGAATCATTTTCATTACGAATAATTCATTGATGATTAATCATCGGGTGGAGTTTCAATAGGTGCAGTTTTCCTCAATATTTTCTGATATGAAGTAACAATGGAAATCGGGATGGAGACTTTGAATTGCTTGCGTTATCATTCCTCGAGATAAGGAAAATGGTGATGCGATATCATTTTGGTGAACATCTCGATTGATTCTCAATGTTTTGCAAGTAATTATCGCACTATTTCGAGATCCTATTAAAAAACGGTCTTTCCAGACCCTTTCGGGCACGTCATATTGACCGCATAACTGGACTTTGCATTATTGACCGTTTCAACATATTGCGATGTAATTCAAAACGTAAAGAGGCCGCACCCCTTTCCCCACAACCGTTTCCATAAATAAAAAAAAATTACCAATTTGCAACAACCCCATTCCATAAATACCGATTTTTTAAATCATACGCTTCTCAATCGGAAAATCCAAAATTGCGAGGGTAAAAAATTCAACTGCGAATTCAATTTTACACAAGTATCTGAAAATTCGCATCAACTTGAAATTGAAATTTTCCAGACTGGTGTGCTAATTGCCAATCGAATTGTTCATTTCAACCGGTAATTACTGATTTAGAGTTAACGTTAATTTGTCAGTTGACACAGTGTTGCCAGACCTAGCAAAACGTCAACATCTGTTAACAATGATACGATCGCAAGAGAAAGTGACCCTTTTGCAAATTGCAGGTAACAACCCCAAGTTTTTTCCTCGTAATAATAAATCCCCCTGTCCATCAGGCATGAAGAACCCCCATTTCATCGATCGGCAAATTCTTGATGGCATCATCAGCTCAAGTGCAAATCAGCAGACGGCGAAAAATATAGTAGAAAAGAATATAGAGCATTGGAAAAATATTCCAAAAAGATAATAGATATTTTACGAACCACAAATAACGAGTTGACAGCGCACAGAAGATATTTAATGCACCTGAGGCCAACATCGAGATGGGTTGCCGCCATTTTGTGGTCCCTTTAGATTCGGCAAATGGTGAATGCGGGAAGGAGTGAGAAATTAAAAGTTTTTACAACTTTTTTACCCACTTTTCAGAGGAAATTGCAAGATCTTAAGGTGCGGTTGAATGAGCAGACCAAATGACAAAGGAGAACTGCGTATCAGGTGGAAGTCGTAATCAAATGGAGATAACGAGACGTCGGGAATACCCGAGAGTCCACGAAGCCGAGTGACGCCAGATGACGACAATTACAATTTTCAGAGGGAAAATTCTCATCGATTATTACTTGTTTACTTTGTCTGTCTTGTGTGTTTCCAGTATTTTGTCAAATCGTGAATTCAGAAGGGAGAATTAATCGGTAGATTAAAACTATTCAAATGAAACTGAAAAACATATTGGCTCCATATAATTCTATATTTCCACGAGGATTTATTAAAACCTTAACACCCGAAATAGTTTCATAATAATAAAAAAAATAAGGAATTTATAGCTTGGGAATTTATTGAATTTACACAAAAGAAAAATACAACTCAATTTCTCTCTTTAATATCTCCTCATTCAAGTACAAATGAAAAATGCAAAACAAGTTGTAATACTCATACAACAATATAGTTTAGTTACCCAGAGAGAGTTTCTGATCGTTTCAGCAAAATCGTCAAACAAATTAATGGAAAATGCAAATGAACAGGTAGATTTAATTTCTTCTCTTCCAGAAACCCTGAAATTCTCTCTGTCACTTAATCTTTTGTTTTTGAAACTCTTTTTACAATGAAGGTGAATCCTGCTCGATTATTTTCGCTCACTCGGATTTTTCAGTTTTCTTTAATAATCTATTTATTCTCCTTTTAAACTGTTTCGTAGTTCATTTTTATGGCCCTCGCCAGGTAGATGGAGAACCAGATGCCCACACCCTGAAAAAAGAGTGTAAAAAAAAACATTAAACATTCATATCTGAACTTAAAATTTTTTATGCACACAGGGCCCAATTGAATAAAAATCGTTCAAATCTTCTTGAGTATCACGAAATTTTTCCTGAATTTGCACTTTAAAAAAATCCATAGAAATTCCGATTCATTCAGTAACTTAAATTTAAAAAACAAATACCCAATGAAGATTTATTATAAATAAAAATTATGTTATAAATGTAAAAAGAACGCAAAGTTCTGTAACAATGATTGCGTGAAATCAATTGCGTGAAATTGTCGGTCAGAACTGAAATAAAAGTGGCCAACGAATTTTGAATAATATTTTATGAATAATATAAAATGTGCGGATGCAGAGTTTTTTGAATGGATATTTTCTGCTTGTTCACCTGAATAAATGCGATTCCTAAGCCTGCACCACCCAATTGTACTGCGTGCCCTTTGATAAATGACCCGAAGGAATGGAGACAGCCAATTTTATACAGTGTTTTACTGTCGACTGTGCAGCTTATATTTCCTACCGCTCCGGAAACTTCTTTGCAACAGCTCATGGGCAGCCCTTCGAGTTTCGTCTGATTGGCCCAGTCTGTGGGTCCATTGGTCCCACAACATGAAAACTTGAGAACAGAAATAAATCAATCAAAAAAAGCCACTAAATAATACATTTTTAACACCAGAAAAATACGACTGATGAAAAGGATCAGGAATTCAGTAATTCTACAAGGGAAATATCAATTATTAATGAATAGTATTAAAAATTCAATCCAAATATTAATTCAATGAATGAATATTGATTCAGTCGAATGGTAATACGAAATGGTCAACGGTTTTTCCAAAAATTTCGATAAGTCCCTTCATTTTTATATTTACGATAATATCAGAGAAGAGTAAACTGTCTTATCTACTGTTATCACTTCGCTTTCCGCGAAAATGATTGAATAAAAATTCGAATCTTCAATTTACTCACATCTTTCTGAAGATTGTCCCAAACAAGTGTAATTTCAGTTGTTGTGTTGTCATAAGCGTAATTTCTCATTGTCCCCAACATCTTGTTCTTGATCATGTCAGCAGCTTCATTTCTGAGAACGTATCCAGAAATTCCAGCTGAGAGTTCGAGGATAAAGACGAGAACCATCAACGAGGCAAACTAAAATGCAATGAATACCAAAGATTCTTCGATTTTCTACAAATATTACAGGTGAGAGTATCTTTATTTAAACAATAACATTTTTTTAAGTTAAATATGCAACTATTTTTAGTGGCTCATTGTATTATCCCAGAATCCCCTCATTAATTATAATTAATAATCAAAATTGATTTTACCGTTATAACCATGCAGTAATTTTCTCTGACAGCACCACAGCAGCCGAAAAAGGCGATGAAGAAAATAATGGAACCAACAGCGATTAACAACGAGGGCACTGACAAGAACTTGTTGTCCAGGAAGTGCTGGTAATTGCTGTAAACTGCGTGAATTGTTGCTCCAATCGACAGCAGAATAATTCCAGTGATCTATAATTAATTATTTCAAAAACCATGATCGATATTCCCTCCATCCTAATGCTCCAGACATTATTTCCATTAAATTATCATTTAAATTGGACTACAAAAATTTATATCCACTAATTTTTTAATTTCTTATCTGCAATTGACTTTGTTTATTTGAAAAAGGAATAATTGCAGGAGATTTAGAGGCATTTGACTACAAAATTTTGTTGATTTAATAATTATTTATTTTTCTTCATTGATATGGATTTTGATATTTAAAAAAAAAACAGGAGGAATTTAAACAAAAAAACGAATAATTTATCAAACTCCACTCGTCAAATTCCTCCAATCCCCACGTAATTGACAGCAATATTTTTTTATTATCGGATCGAAACTTCTGCTGCAATTGTTATGATAGACACAAGCACCTGCGTCTTTTCGATTCGTATTATGTCATCAATCAGCACTTGAAGGGTCTCATGATGGCCTTGAGAAGTATTTAAATTACATATTTCTTGGAACACGTCGTCATTGATTTAAAAAGCCGCAAAAACTCTTCTAAATTGGACGAGAGATCACGAAAGAGCTATTATTTATGCTAAATTGAATAGTTATTAATTAATGCTGTTATTATATTTGCAGTAAATTATTGATTTTAAGGGGAAATGGTGGATTAAGTCTTAGTGGTTAAAAAAATCTATCACTCGACATACGCTGCGGTGTCCGAGCGGTTAAGGAGATGGACTTGAAATCCATTGGGTTCTACCCGCACAGGTTCGAATCCTGTCCGCAGCGATTTTTTTTTTCACTGTTTTCATGTTAATAGGTATCTATTTATCCGTTTACACTAGTTTCGTAGTTTTAAGACGAATACAAAGTATTTATCTCAATTCATAAATATGTCAAATTTTGAATCTTGTATTTAGCATTTGTATTTTGTATTTTAATGGTGTCATATTTTGTATTTATCTCATGTACAACCTCTCAGATTCAATTTTTATTTTCTTTCCACACAGTAATGAATTACTCATAAAAAAAATATAATTAAACGAAGAATTGAACTGTCTCTTAGACAAAGTGCCGGTTAATCTCGACGAAAATATTATCATCAGAAAATAAGTTATACGTGGGCACAATCGCCTTTAATTCTCGATTTCCAAGATAATTCCCTCGATGAAATTATTTGGTTAGTCTGGCATCTTAGATTAGCCTTTTCTTGGAATTTAATTCTCGGCAAGTGATTTGAGACAATGAGAATGGAAAATACACGTGGAGATGCCGTCGGAAGAGATTCAAATTTATCAATTCTATTTAGCAGAATTTCAATTGACGATTTTTTAGTTTAAAAATCCATTATGTTCATGGGAATTCTACAATTTCCTGAGATTGCGCAATAATTCTTCCCGTTCTTTCACGTAATTCAAATAAATGGAAGAAATCGGTTCTCTTCGCGCTTCATATTTTCTGGGTTATCTGCGCAGTAAAAAAGACAATCAAATGATGAATAATAATAATGAGAGGTTGTAATGAGAATTGATAATTGAAGTGTTATTACCCACCACAAATAGGAGATTGAAGATGAACATAAGGTACTTAATGCACCTCGAACCCATGGGAAGACTCAGATCTGCGACCATTTTTATTTTTATTTTTAATTCCAATGAACAATCACCGGAAATTAGACACTTGTATCACTTCTTGCAGAAATACTTTGAATTATATTATAAATTTGTTACTAGCACCAGGTGTCAACACGTCAAAAGGCTTGAGTCTTGTGATGTCGTCACGTAGTTTTGTCGTTCTTTTTTTTTTATTGTAATCTTATCAGGAACGAATTCTCGAATCACCAACTGTAACTACGTCCTCTGGAGTTTTGTTGAAAAATACATTTGGAGGAGATAGAGAGAGAAAGAGAGAGAGATTTTACCCATGTGGACTGCTCCTCGAGATTGCGCATGTCCGAACAATCCGACAGGTGCGGATAATTAAATTCTTGCGCCATGATCTAATTGTTTTATTATTAATTATCTGAGAAATTGAATTTCGACTTTTTCATTGGTTTCAATTTTCAATTTGGTTTTAAAAAATTTTTCGATAATTTAATATCATTTTTTGTTAGTTCACACGCAGAGAAGTTATTGTTTTTCTTTTTAGTTGTAAATTATAGAATTGATAATGGACATTATGACCAAATCATAAATTACGAGATTAAAAACGCAAATTGTAATTGAGTTTTTTTCATTAGTGTGAGTTATTAATGAAATAATTGATTTGTTTTTAAATTCAAGGATTTTAAGCGCTCTATAGAAATTTCATATTTTTATTAAAAATTTGTAAAAAATGAGTGTGAAAAGTGAAAAAATATTGAAATATTCCGTTTGTTGACTGAAAAATAAAAGTGATTCATGACAATGATTTGAATTCCTTTCACAATTAATATAAAAAATGAATTATTCATCGACAACAGAAATTCCGCGATGGATTGAAACCATCTGCTGTTAAAATAAAAATGGAATTGTATAAGAGATTTTTTTTTCGGTGTAATTGACATTGTGAGAATTACCAAAATTACTCATCCATTGTGGGGTTCAAAATGAAACAGAGCCGTAGCTGTAGATTTGAGGAGAGAACCGTCAGGTGTAAATGGAGAATGGACAACTCAGAACTTGTTCATTATCGAAAGCAATTGAAAGTCATACAAGTGTGACGTGGCCTGAGTAGAAGTCAGAATCCACCAATCTTTTAAGAGGTGTTGTTGAAATTCCGAGGAATGCCCACTTTCACTGCCTCCTGGACATTCACCTTCGATCAAACAATTAATCTGCCTTCTCATTCTTTAGCACCTGATCATCTGAAAATTAATAACAATATATTGTCGGAAATGTTTATGTCAGTTTACTCTTGATGTCTTGAAGACCGTCATACCGATGTTTTTTCACTATTTCACTTACGTAAGGTTCAGTTACGTCCATGAGCCAAATGAGTACTTCCTGAATAATTCAGCGAGATTTGAATTAGAAGTTGGGGGTTTTTATGAAAAATTGGAGTTTATTCAGGTTGAAGTGAGACACATTCGCTCGTGCTAGTTTTCCTAGTAATCGATCCGATCAACTTATATCCCTGGCAACGATCTCAAAATAACAGTCGACGGTTTCTTTACAATTATTGTAGAATTCCAACAGAACTAATTGCTAATCGCTTTCAAAACATCCCCGGATTATTGGAAAACATCTCCCATTGCTGCAATATTAATTTTAGGAGGAAAGAAAAATTCCTGGGGGTTGAGGCGATCGATGTCGAAGACTTACCGCAGAAAATCGATGATTTAACGGTTATTTATTCCTCTTCTGCTAATTGAGCGAGAGGTCATTGTATCCGCTTCCGCCCACGTACAACTTTTATATGATTGAATTAAGTACTCCCTCAATGTCCACACAGTCTGACAGCTCATTTCTAGGTTCCGACGTCACATGAATATTCAGACGATGAAAAATCCTTAGTGGAATTCATTTCAGGATTCATCTGATTTCAAGGTCAACTCTCCAAAAATCTGCATGTTTTTTCATCATCACATTTCCCAAATCCTTAAAATGAATAAAATGTGATAAATATGAGAATAATCTCAAAATCCTCATAAACTTCTAAAAACAAAGAAATAAAATTTTTACAAATGTGAGAGGAAAAAAAATCCTCAAAATCATCGTTCAACCTGCAGCACTAGCTGCTCTCCTGATCCTGAAAACAAATAAACGGTGAAAAAAATGGAAAAAAAATAAATGAAAAAAAATACTACCTGCCCCCCATCTGGGATGCGCGCGCATCCCCGTAACAATCCCGTACCCACCACAACAAAAATTGCATCCACTCCAGAGCGGGACATCTAGTTGTTCGGACGTACCTTGAGATCTTTGAAATTTTGAAAACACCAGTATACCACCACTAGCGAGTGATAAAATCCAAAAAGAGCGAGTGAAGAACTAGTTTGTGGAGAAGTGATTGACATTTGAGTGAAAATTCGTTGACAAACCGACAGGATACAAAATGGTGTCCGGTGGTATGACCTGTGTCAAGTACCTTTTATTCCTCTTCAATCTCATCTTCGCCGTAAGTTATTGCAATTAATAACAAAATGGTCTTGTCCTATTTCCTTTGTCTAACGCCCGTTGGAATCTATAGTTCGAGGTGTAACTATAGATGATAATCGATAGACCCACACTTCATGGGAAACAAAGGTGGAAACTAGGAATTTCCATCTATTTTTTAGCTTATCGATTTCACTTGGTTTTTATTCTTTTTTATCGGCTTGGGAAATTTCAGCTTCGACACCTAGAAATTATTTTTCCAAATTTTTTACAATATTTCAGGTAAAACTCTAGGTGACGACGCGGGGGAGGACATCTTTTTTTCTTCTTTATGAGATCGAAAAGAAAATTCTAGATTTTAAGAATCAATGAATCTACATTTTTTATTTTTGTGATTGAAATCCAAAAAAATCTGTTTAGAAATTTTTTTTTCGATTTTTTTTCCATTTTTTATTTCGATTTTTTTTTGTTTTTTTTTATTGAGTCTTTTAACCGATAAAAGGAACCCCATTTTCCGGATTTCAAGAGGATTTTGTTATTCTCTGATGTATTAATTTATTTATCTATTGATTTTGTGATAGTTTTAGGAAATATCTCATTTTTCGGACAATATCTTTGAATCTAAATGACATATTGAATTTTTTGTCAGGACCTTTCTTGGAGCTCTGATTCTCCTCTACAAAAGAAGTTCTATGGAAAATTCTTTTCCATCCCTTAGATTCAAAGTTATTCCCGTTGAAACTCGATTTGTCACACTTTACCTCTTGACTAGTGGAGCGTTTCACGAAACAGATGTTTGGAATTTCCTATTATTTCGCTCCCTTTTCCTCCATTAACTCTCCGGGATATTCTGACAAAAATGAACCGGATATTACAAAACCTGAGATTAATCCGGAAAAAAAGGAAGATCCATAATCTAAAATGATTATTATTATTATTTATCAGAAGATCATAATTAAAAAACGGAATTGTTCTCTTTTTCTCTCCGAAACGCATTTATTAATAAACGAATGATTATTGTTTTTGCATAATTGGCAATGAATGATGATTGACTAATTATCGATTCGACGATTGATTTCAGATAACTGGAGTAGTATTTATTACAGTGGGTGGAGTGATCCTCAGTTATTACAGTGGCTATCGTAATTTCCTGGACAATTGGTTCTTTGCAGCACCAGTTCTTATGATCGTCGTTGGCGTTATCGTCTTCCTGATATCGTTCTTCGGTTGCTGTGGAGCTGTCAAGGAAAACCACTGCATGATAATCACCGTAAGCTGCAATATTAGACACAACAAATTGCAATGCACAATTTTTTTTATCGTATCACTACAGAAACAACTCAATTTTTCAATCCATTTGCCATTTTCAGGTTCCATATTCAATTAATAATAATCCTTATGATTTTTTTACTTTAATTAATTTGAATTAATTTACTTCAATGACTAATTATCTAATTGCCTCAATAGTAATTAATTCTGGAACTTCTTCTCTTGTTTGACGATATTTTTAAGAAGTTTAATTGACGATGAAGAGATTCTTCTTTTGTTACTCATTATCGAGAGTATTGCGTAATTGCATAATTGTACAATCGATAGAATATTCGCACTGATTCTACAATCGATCGATGATTACAATATCAGAATTTTTTTTTACTCATTATATGATGCTAATAAATTTTCTTTCTTTCAATGATTGACCAAGATGTGATGAGGAATTAATTAATTAAACTTGAATTAATATTTTCCATTTAATTTTCATCGTCTTTTATCAGTTCTCAGTTCTTCTGCTGCTGATCTTCGCCCTGGAATTGGGTGCAGGCATTTCGGGGTACATGATGCGTAATGAGGTCGGTAAAATGCTACTTAGACGCATGAATAACTCCATCTACACTTACCACACCGACAATGACGTGCATAATATGTGGGACACCCTTCAAGTTGATGTAAGTAATTTCGTCAATTTTTGTAATTACAGAAGAAGATGGGGAAAATAAATTGACAATTCCTTCGTCCCTGAATTTATTACCAGCAAAACAAATTTACCCTCTAACTTAATTAGCTCTGTGGATTAATTCTCATTAGCTGAATGATTAATAAGAGAAATTGATTCCACAGTGCAATTTTCTTCAATTATTTTTCCCCACAAGCCATCAATCTCTCTAATCATTCCCAATATGTAAATAATTAAATCAATTCTAAAAATACTCATTACCCCTTAATAATTTTTCCACTGCAAAACGGTTAATTAATCATTCATTTTGAGTTATTGAATTATTGAGATGAAGAAATCAATATTTTGAGAATGTTTATTAAGAAAAGTGTGACATTTTTGTCATGCGATTGAGTTTTAGGAAAATTCTAGTCCTGAAAAGGGGAGAGGTTCTTTAATTACTTCTTGAAATAATGAAGATTGGAGTGGAAAAAGAAATTGAGCCGAGGACAAAGAGGGCTACGACAATGATGACACGTAGTGTATCATGTACACTCTATGTACCTTTAAGGGGCCACGTACAGACCTGTCAGACCTTGTTCATATTGCAAATCAATATCACTTCCCCTTCTCGTACATTTTTACGTACACTTTGCACAAGTCCGCAACTTCTTTCGCATACATGACAAAAAAGAAATATTTCATAGCTGTAAATTACAAAATTAGACATCTCTCATGACTTTCAAAATCGGTGATTATGGAATTGAAGACGTCAAATTTACGAGTCATAAATCGGAATTGTCGCCGATTCAAAAAGATATTTTTGTCGTCAATTGTAATTTACGTGAAGTAGAAATATTAACGGGAATTTGCCAATGGTTTTTAAGTGGGAGTGGTGATTTTTACGAGAGTGTAGAAATAATTTCAATCGATAATTCATGAAAGTTTAATGGGGCAGAGGACAAGGCTGCATCGAGCCCACACAATCCTGAATTAAATAATTAAGTATTTGAATATTTCAGACGTTTTTTTTCTTTACTACAAGAGTTCTAAAGACTCTGGGGATTTCGAATGGTCTTACACCGCGAAAATTCATGGATTTTCTCCAATCGCCAAAATTTCCCGATTTTCCACTTCTCTTAATATTATCCATACATTAAATAATTAATTATCGTTATTATTATTATTGATTGATCCATCACTGAAATTTTCTTCTGAAAATTGGCATTGAACTGTCCACCAAATTTCGGTCGTTTTTTTTCTGTAAATAATTTTTATTTAAATACAGTTTTTTTTTTATAAAATCATAGAGCCCCCAACGCCTGCATCTGAACATTTCGGAATTTTAGGATCGCAATAACCGAAGAATATGCATAAATCAGGAGTGATTGAAAAGGAAGAATTGAAGATAAAAAGTTGTCTAGACAAGGGGTCGAGACGTAGGGGAAGGGTCGCATGTCAGTAACGATTATTGCATGAACGTGTGCAGTTTCGCCCCTAGAGAATTCTCAGAAAAAGTTTTTCCCCCTGCCCTGACCCTTGTTTCAATTTTTTTTTGTTCACCCCCACAACATCCCTTTTTTTAGAGTCTAACAATATTGTTTTTTTTATTTATCATTTATATACGAAGCACGATGCACGGTGCACGATGCACTATTTATGGTATTGAAGGAGAAGGCAATGACCCGGGCTTTCGTGTTCGCGTATTCAGGTGTCACACCAGTCATAAAATATTGCGCAATAGTGAAAGGTCTTGTTGAGTAATTTTTATTGATAACCCGAGAAGTTGTGGGCTACGTCGAGACCTAGTTTCCAAGGCTCATTGAGCGATCGGATTTCTCTGTTCAATCAATTCTATTTCTCATTTTTACATTTTATTTATATATTATCGAAACAAATTCTCATTAACTTTTCCAATCAGTTTAATTGTTTATCCAAACGTTGATATTTTCTTCTGCTTACGAAATTAATCAGTTAATTAACAACTCATTACCAGGAAATGTGTTATTCAGTCTAGTTAGTCTACTAGTGGCACAAGTTTGTGTTTTGAAAATATCTCGTGAACTAGGGAAAATGGCGAAATTTTTGTTGAATTGTTTTGTGTACATCTCGTTCAGATGCACAAAAAAGTTATTATCACAATTTCTCTATTGTGCTCCTAGTTTATGAGAATTGAGGAAAAATGGGGGAGAAATGGAAATTATTAAAAAATAGTTAATGATTAACATAATTAATCTTCATAATATATTTTTTAATGGAGTTGGGGAGAGGTGAAGACTTAAATGATTTTGTTTTCAGTTCAAATGCTGTGGTATTAATGGAACATCCGATTGGTGGCCGACGCAGTTCAAAGAACCAAAATTACCACCATCTTGTTGCTCCGAGATATCAAACACTGCTGAATGCGATGTTAATGCAATTACTTCGCACAATGAGGGATGTCTGAAGAAAGTTACCGACACTATCGAGAATAAAGCCTATATTTTGGGTGGGGTTGGCATTGGAGTTGCTCTGATTCAGGTAAATCATAACTCATCGAAAATCTCGATTTAAAATTTTGATTACAAATCCTGATTATTAAAAAGAAATGCTTTTTTTTCGTCTGAAAAGTTATATTAGTTAAGTTACATTAAAATTTAATTTCACTTATCTCTCGCAATGAATCATGAATTTATCCCCAGGATGAGGGATTCGATGTCAAAAGGTCGAGTAATATCTCTTTTCGGGGAATTTCAATAGATTTTATGTTCAATTCACGTAATTACTTGTTTGTTGAATATAATACCTCATTGATTGGAAGGGAAACAATAGCAATAACAATAACACCTCAGAATTAATGAATTTTTTTTTTTTCAGCTCATCGGAGTGATTTTCGCTTGCTTCTTGGCTCGATCAATCCGTCGTGAATACGAGACTGTGTAAGCAGAGATAATTGAATAATTACATTGCAAAAATCTAAAGATAAAAGAGCAAAAACAAACAAAAAAAACACTAATCGATAAATCGCCTAATTAATGTGCACAGTTTGTAACAAATTTCTATAATTTCATTATTTTCCATCACACGATGTACACAACTATCGCAATGTTTAACAATTGCATAAGCACAAAAAAAAATCACTATTTTCACTTACACGAATAATACACGAGTAACTTCTCTCATTCTTCAATCATAATAATGTTTCCATTTATCTCATTCATTCTTCGTTTCATCTCATCAAACTTTACTATTGTAAGACTGTTAAGACGACCAATGGATTATGACACAAATAATTGAAAATTAATGTCAATTCCACTGATAAAAAATAATTAATATTATTACCACAGTTATAAATATTTATCAATTGCCATAAATATTATGAATATTTTTTATTTTGCTGTTTTTCGGTTGAATTTCATCGTGAAATTATTTCCATTATTTGTTTATAACAATTTTTGTGAGAATTAAAATGATTTCAATTAATTTCTTTTGTTGTTTCAACTGAATTCAGTTCACATTTCTTTTTCGAAATTTTTGGGGAAAAACTTCTTGAATAGTTGGATTTAAAAATTTAGGAATAAAATTTAAGTTGGAGAGTTTTTTGCATTTTTCATTTATTCAAGAAAAGGGATTATTTTTTTAATAACAACATTTAGGCGGGATTTTTCAAGAGGATTTTCCCCTTTTTCCCTCTCCCTACGATTCTAATTCCTAAGGATTCTATGAAGATACTTTGAACAAAGCTTTTGGCTTACAAATTGCAAAAGCATGTGTGTAATAATCGTCTCACTAATTTTTCATTCTACAATTTTTATTTTCGTCATTGATTCTGGAGTGAATCAATAAAAATACTCTCCGAGATTTTATGAGCAACTCCTTAAATACAGAGAATATACTACACTTGAAAAAAGATTTACGATAATTAATTTATATATCATAATAAAATTTTATTTCTTCACTCCTGAAGTCATTTTCTTAAGCAAAAAAATGCTTCACAACACAAAATTAAAGGACACTGTGATCGAAAGTAATTTATCTGGGTGTAAGTCTATGGAATAACTCAAAGCATGTATAAACAATAGTAAAAAAAATTGTTGGAATAATCTAAGAAAGATTATATAAGAGTAATAAAGCGGCTGCAGTTGTGAGGACACATCCCCTTCCCCCCTCAAATTTTCGTGCATTTTCAAAGACAATTGTCAGCTTTCAGCCACTCAATCACAAATCGCCATTTTGTTACAACAATTGCCCTCCCTCCTGTGTTTATTTCGTTAGATTATTGATATATATATATAATCCATCTACGGAAGTCGATGAACTCCCCGAAAAAAACATAAATCGAGTCCACTAAATTTAGTTTAAGAATAGATGCAATATTTAATGAATAATTATATTAAGCAACAATTATTATTGTTTCTTACTATTGTAAAGTCTACGTAGATGTTGAAAAAGTTGAAACCTAATATTTATAGAATGAGAAACTTATATTTAGATGTGAAAAAATCTCTTATTTCGATTCCATTTGATGTAATTGATTTTTCTTTCTAATTGATGAATTTTTTTTATTTTCGTTATGAAGGGTTCGTTAACTTTGGACAAATTGATTAAGTAATTATTTATTATTTCTCTTGCCTACTGTATCGTTGTTCTTTGGTGCTTGTTGATTATTATTTACATTATTTACATTTTTGTTTATCTGAGGAGATTCAAGTGAGGGCTATTTAATTCTCAAGTAATTGGTCAATTATTCCCGTAATTATTGATTCCGGAGTTAAAAAAAAAGTTGAGATTTCCTCCAAGACTCCCTAGTTCATGAGACAATTGCCTAATTAATTTATTAATTATTCATTAATTTTTCGGCTTGTTACGTTTTAATTCAAATTCAATAACTAAAACAGCAATTAATTTAATCGGTAAAAAAAAAATGACCCGTGAATCTCCTCAATCGCATCCCTTAATTGCACAACGCAAGGCCTCAAATCAATTAATGAGTTTTAAAGAATAATCAGTGGTCTAATTAAAAAAAAAATTAAGCGAAATATCGACCTCATGTACTCAAATGTTTTAATTACAGTGAAACCACCGCACACTGATCAGCCATCAATTAGGAGGCATTGAAAAACAATTAATTTTCTTTAAAACCAAAAGAGAAAAAAAAAGTCCACGATAAATAAAAAAAATCGAAAAACTTGTGGAGACCATTTGTTTTTTTTTTTTAACATTAATTGTCAACTTCATGTGCTTTTGAACGTATGCAGCGAGAACTTAATGCAGAATGCGTTAAACATGATTCATTATAAAATAAAATAAACAATTTATTCAACAATGATAAAACGTAACAAGTTGATTTATCGAAATATCTCGATAACAATTTGATCTTGAGACGAAATGAGATGAATTAATCAATGAAATTGGACGTTTTACAACAAAAATAATGGATAAATAAAAGTAAAATGTTGAAATTGTTCTCGAGGAAGACGTTATGCTTGCTAAATAACTGCCAATTTGTCTATTTGCCAAATAAAACAAATACAGACAAGCACGAGACGTTGATAAATAAACAAAGCCTCAATTTTTTTAATCAATCCTCGAGGATGAGATAATATCGTGTGACGTTTTAGAACCGCTCTGATTAATAAAAGCGGCTTAATGCGATATTTACAATAAATAATCTTGAGTGACTCGAGATAAACGCTTCTGCATATTGATAAGGGGAGATTAATGCAATTGGAAAATTATTATCATTGTCACTGGAATTGTATGCTATTGATGTACAACTATTTCTCTGTGCCTTAAATGGAAATTTATCATTGAATATAAAGAGTTGAAGAGAAAAAATCATCGAATTGAGAGTTTTTGCTAAAGAAATCTTAATTCGATTATTTTTCTATTTGAGAACAGAGATTAAACAATTTTAGGAAGTTATTTCGGGTAATGGACGTTAAATTTTAGTTGACAGATGAAAGTATTATTCATGATTCAGTAGAGAAGGGGCTTTATGGATTGTAAAATTGAAAATAATGTCGTTGTAATTGTTGTGAATAAGCGGAAAAGTTGGAAAAAAAGTGTGGGGCCATTTTTTTGCTGGGGATTTTTCTCATATTTTTTAATCTAAATAAATTATCTTGGTACAAGTGATATCGAAAAATTGAAAACTTATCGCAAAAAAGCAATTATCAACGAGATATTTATTCATTGAATTGACCAATCACTTCTTCACTACTGAATTATTATTATTCTTCTTTAATTATCAACAGCCGTCCATTTTTAATTAGCGACGAGATACGAACAAATAATATTCGATTTGTTAGCTTTATCATTTGGAGTGTGCCTAATGATAGTTACTATATAATTTCAATTCAATTAAGCATTTTAATGATAAGAATTTAGATGTTTAGATTATTAATTAATCCACAACATTAATTGCTTGTTCAAAAATGAGGAAAACAAAGGGGGGAATGAGTGAGGAATTACGAGTAATTAGTAATAGCACATGTCCAAAGTTTCGCTCCTTGTCATTAACGAACGAAAAAAAATTTATTGAAAAATTCATTCCAGTGTTTCTCCAACGCTTTCGTTATTTTCTAATCAATTATATTATCCAAACGATTGATTGACCTGACACTAGACAATCGCATTGGCATTATTATATGAAGATAACAACCAAAGGGGTTTTTTTAAAAAATCAACTACAAGACAAAAATGCAACACGTGAAAGACTGAAAAATCGAAAGAAAATTTATTGTAATCAGTATTAACTAAAGAATTAACTGAGGGAAATGATAAAAATGAGATTTTAATTGGAAAATCGGTAATCGAGAATTTAGATTTTGTCAATTGGCAGACTGATTCATATTTATGCATTTTCATTTATCTGAATTACGAAGAATTATACAAAATACAAATTTTATTACAACAATGTCAAATAACTTTGTATTACCGAGTAATTTCTTTATGATGTTACTTATTTTGTGGCATATATTGATAGGAGCCCAACGACTCGTCTCTAGCACATATTTGTCTAGCTTTTATGGTATATAAATATAATAAGTGAAAATAAACGAGAAAAATATACGATAATGTCAATGGCTTTCATTTATTCTCTTTCCTCTTCTTCAATTTTCTTAATAGAAATTAATTAATTAATAAAAACACATTGATTGTACAAGTTATATTTATTTCATCTTTATACCGATGCCAATACCTAGCGCACTAACATTTAATTATTTATTCATTAATCAAACCAGATGACTTCTCTCAATTTTTTTTCTTGTATCAATTTATTCAATCACTCCATAAACAATCACACAGGCAGATTAAATTGGAACATCAAATTCAGATATGTGGATTCATCCACTTCGCAAAAATTTACAAGACCGACACAAATTTCATTATGTTATTTGTTTATTTATTTCATCAAAGCGATCAATAACATTTACCTCGGCTCTAAGGCTTTCAGGATCTGTACAAGGCGCTCAGAAGCTGACTATTTTTCTTTTCATTATTGTTAATTATTTTATGATTGAAAACTTCAAACTCAAATGTTAATTGACCGAAAAATTCGAGGACAGTAAGGTTTACGAGAAAATATCATAAAAATTTCTGCAAGGAGATTTTCATAGGCTACAACCAATGTCTTCTGACTTATCCCTTTAAATCCATTCTTTATTGATTTGTAGACCACAATTTTTTTAGATTTTAGAGATAAATATTAATGTACTGTCAGTAATTATTCAATCACTCCAGTAATTATTCATTTTAGTACGAAATGTTAGGACATCTTTATCGTGTAATGAAGGTCTCGCGCGATTTTCTCGTAAATCCACTGATCTTCAACATTTGCAAAGTAATCCATAAGAAATATTAACTTTTCGATGAAAAAAAAATTGATCTCTGGATTCATTAAGTTAATTATTTCATTACTTCTATTTATTATTATTTCTCATCACGTAAAGCAAATATCTAAGCATATCAGAGTAAATTATTTACAAAGTGGCCTCGTCCTTCATAAAAACGCAAAAACAATGCGTTCAACTATTAAAAAAAAATCAATTGTTTTATTCTGGAAGTCTGTTTTCACGTAAAGTTATTGAAATAAATGAATATGGAAATTATGCTGCCAAATAATCACAATAGTAACTCAGTTATTTCAATGTTGACCTTAAAAATAGAAACTGCGGATCAAAAAGCATGCAAATGCTGATGATTTATCATAGAGCAAAAATTTTATCTTTTGATAAAATATGAAAAAAAAATTTACAGAAATGAAATCAGTTATTTACAAAATTGTAATGAAAATGTCGGTGAGTCATTTTTGATTGATTTACAATTCTGAATAAATCCCTGGGAAAATAGAAAATAAAATGTCACAGTCTTAACAACTATTTACTTACAATTTAATTTATTAATAAAAAAATCATTAATTTTTCTCTTCATTTGCCTCTCACGCCTACAAAATTACTTCGTTTTTCTCATTTATTAAACACTAAGACCTCGCCCTTAATTTTACAGTTGATAGATGAATGAATTTGAAGAGAAAAATTACAAAATTTTCTGCTGGATGATTTACTGAGAAGTAATTGTGTAAAAAATTCCAGTAATTTCCAAACGATACGATTCACTCTGACCAATGATTTTCCCTAGTTCTTGTCTTGATTTTCAGGGAAAAACGGAATTCATCCAATCCTTCATTCACACAGAAAAATAAGTAAAAAAAAAGATAAAGAGCACATCACAATCTCTCACGTCTCTCTCTTAATTCTGTAATCTCCTATCTTAAATCTTCATTATAAACCATTTCTTCAGCATTATAATTTGTTAAAATTGTTGGTTGAGGTTTTTGTTTAGTGTTGAAGAGGCCCTTCGTTTGGCCACTAGGAACTGCATGTTATGAATAATATTAGGAGTCAACATACTTCATTATTTTTTCACAATTTTTTCCTTTTTACGTCTTTGATGCAGTGAATGATGAATTTATTGGCGTATGGCTGATAGGAGTGGTTTGGGGGGATGAAATGAGTAATGAATGCTCATGTTGCGTATCTCTTGGTCCAGAGCCGAGCAATTCTGTCGTGCTCCTCGCGATTCTGGAGGTACTGCGTTGCTATACTCCCAACTAGTGGATCGGCTGAAATTTTAACAATTATCAGTTATTATTGCGTTAAAATTCTGTTTATTCTCCACGATGTTGACTTAATGTAATACCGCTAATCTGTTAATGATAAAAAAAAAATTGTCGGTACGAATTGGTATACTCAAGGGCGAAAAATAATTTCTGATGATATTACCTGGATTGCAGTCTGTAAGTAGAGAACAAATGGAGAGTAGAACCTTGGAGATGGTCAAAGCTGGCGACCAGTTATCTTTCAGGATATCCAGGCATATGACGCCCTGACTATTTATGTTGCAGTGGTAAATACGTGTGCGGAATGTAACCTGAGACAGAGAGTAAGCAGAACAATTCAATTTCCTGCATATGCGTGGGTTTTACTGCAGGTTTTGCTGCAGGTTTTACTGCAGGTTTTGCTGCACGTTTTACTAGAGAAATTATTGGGGATGATTCCTTACTTTTGGGGGCTTGAAGGGATATTCAGCAGAGAAATGAATGTCCAGAAAGAAGACACCACCTTCGTACACTGATCCTGGTGGCCCCAAGATCGTCGATACCCACTCGTACAAATTATCACCCTTTGGGCCAGCACTGCAGTTTGGGGGTGGATCCAGGGTGATCTCTGCCAATTCCTTTTGTATTCTGGATAAGTATTTCATATATTATTTATTAATTATCGAATCATCTTTAAACTATTAACTTTTGTTGAGAGAATTCAACACAAGATTTCTCTCAATTAAAAAAGATCTCCTGAATTTTCGGGGTTTTCGTTAAACCCATTTTTGAAAATCAAGAAATTTTTGGTCAAAGTCCTCATATCCAGACCAAAATCGATTAAATAAACTTCTCTCCAATCTCTCGTCCTTTTCCGAGATTTTTCTCACTCTAAACCTCAGGAGAACCCTGAGTTCCTCAGGATTTCTTTAACGATTGCAGGAAAAATTTAATTTTTCCATTGAAAACTCCGAAACCCGTGGAACATTGAGGTTATACCCACCTCTTTGCAGAAGTTCCCAAAGCCTTTGACATCTTGGGATTGGGTTTAGCCTCTTTATTATCAGGTTTATTATCAGCAAGAGAAGATCCCCTGCCCCGACCTGTCCCACTAGATCCAGCACCAGAGCTCATTTTCCTGGAGAAAAACTCGTCACAATGAGAAAAAAAAAAGACTGAAAAAAAATCAAAGACCTGACCCTCTGACTCCCTAATTATCTCGAGCAAATGGTGAATTTTGGTTGAGAAAACAAAGTACGTAAGTATCTAAATAAATAATAAATAAAAAAGGGTGTTTCACCTTTTATCTCTTTCTCCACGCCGTGTTGACGATTCCCAGACAAAAAAGCGTCACCGGGAATGACTTTAATCATAAACGAAGAGCCAAAGACTCCGAATGAATGACTGAATTATTGGAACGTGAGAATATCTCTCCGATATTCAATTCTCCTGGATATATCGTGGAATATATATTTATATTTAACGTGAAATGAAGTGTCTCGCCGGATTTTCGACAATGGAGGTCCGAGGAATCACTGACAGTGAACTCAAGAGTAGAACTGAGATGTATATTTTTTATTGACAAAAGTTGAATGATTTTTTTGGTTATTTGGTAGTCATTGGATGTTGTGAGGATGTCTCGAGACTTTTGGGGATGAATTCGGGGGATTTTTTTCGAGGGACTTGTGAGGGATTTTTTTTCGATACTCTCTGATTACTTTGGAGACACCCGGGCGTCCCTGCACACACTTCACTTATTTCCCTATGTACCTCCCTTACTCAATTGTTCTGTCTCTGTTGGGGATTTGCTAGACGCTAGGGGGGGAATGGCCGGCGGTGAATTTCGAATTTTACCGCCAATCAATTTTCACAATTGGATTGCTCGTTTCTAAGAAAAACAGCAAAAATGGAAAGAAAATCAAAGAATTTACGGTTTTTAAATAAATCTTTACTCTATTATTTTATGGATTTGAGAAAGCGGATTGAACTATTTTGGGAAGTTTTTGAGTTAACGGATGTCAATTTTGAGTTCAGGGATGAAAGTATTAGTTATGATTTAGTCAAAAAATCATTGGCGTGTTTTAAGTTTTTTGGGAATTCTTGAGGATAAAATTTTGAATTCCTGGGAAATTTATTCATGCTCCCTCTAGTGGAGGAAATTTTTAATAAATCCATAGCCCCCACTGAAGAGGATTGACTGAAGTAGAGGCTCAGTTCTGGGGGTTTGAGTGACCCCAGGGGCATCGTAGTACTGCACCCCAAGGGAGGAAGGGCGCCACACGCAATGGGGGTGTCTAAAATATGATACGAGCAGGAATTATCAAGCCAAAAACAGGGGACAAGTTCTCTCAGGCGGCACGAGATAGCGAGGCGGTCACTATCACCTTCCCCTCATCTCCATGTCATCCCCACTCTGCAGCTGTTCGGCACTGGTGGGACTATTTAAAAAATGATAATTGAAAATAGCAGGAAAAAATGTAAAATATGGCCTTGGTTTATGGGATGTGTGGTATCTACATGACCTCAAAGTTTCAAAAATAGAATAAACTATAG